CATATTTGAGCCTCTTAGACGGCATCGATGACAATCCTCTTGTTAGTATAATACCCTTCTACTACTATGATGCTTAACTAGGTTCAATGCTGATTTGTGCTCTCCAGATCGTTCCCGTTGACGTGTGATTGATAGCACCATTAGGCTAAAAGACTGATTGAGATAAAGACAAAGCAAGGCCATTATGGTGTAATGCATAACATATGAGCTCAGGAAAGGGTAATCGCTGGTTCGAAAATGGCATGGATTCAACTTTTTGCAAATATCTCAACAATATTAAGGATGTATTTCACAGAAAATGGTGTTTCGAGAATATTCTAGAAGTGAAATCCACCGTTTTCTAATGTTCCACCATTATAATCACAGACGTGAAGGCCTTGGTGTGCTGATATTGCCCACTGCTGTTCTCTATAAAAACGTTTTCTCAAAAACCATCCACAGAAGTAAATAACACTCCATCTATGACGATTTTGAGAGTCTATTTCCTGCGTTTCATAGCTCCTCACCTCCAAGCATATTAAATTTTGCGAGGAAACAATGAGCAGAACCCGCAATGACATTTCTCACAACGGCGACACCGGCTAAGGAAGACTTACGATTTACATTGCATTCGAATTCTTTTTTTTCCTCTTTTTTCCCTCTTTCACACGTACTGCGCGGATCTTAGCACTACTCGCACTCGATTCGTTTCCTCGCACCAACCATTCACGAAGGCCCTCCAACTTTTTTACACAGTAGGTTCGTCTGCTGGTTGAGGATTTTCCTTTCATCTTAAGTATCGTTGAATGCTGATCGAGTCGATTCTTCCTGGAGTCCTGAGAAGGCCAGACAAGAGTGTTCCCATTCCGATTGCAGGAAGGGAATCTCTCCTAGAGAAGTACGGTACTAATTTCCTGACCTTGGAGGGCTGAGGGGCTTGGTGGGCACGGAGCAGGATCGAGTCAGCACCGTGCTCGTGGTGGTCGGCATCACTACTACTATGCTACCCGCCCTCCATTATATTAGAACCCGTAAAATATTCTCTGGCGTCTGGCAGCAAAACAGATTCTTCCCGAATTGACAGGGCTAGTCAACATGGTTGAATTTGATGTTCTGTCACTTTGCTTGATCCATTCCAACGCACTGGTCTTGATGCTACGCTCTTCAGACACATACCTGGACACAGTGTTGTCGTTAAAATTCTCAGCGATGACTTTTCAGAAGGTATGGCCAGATTTATGTAGTGATAAAGAACGTCATTCAATCGGTGATTAAAACGAGAATCAGTTTAGAACCTCATGCCCACCTAAACTGCATCCACCTTGGCTTCTTCACAGCTCTACGGCGAGTTGCAGTCGACGAAGAGGGTGAGGAACGACGCGTCTGCAGCACTCCTCACCTCTTGGGATATTCCTCCGCATTGATTCTTAGCAGATCATCCCGCGATTTGCCATAGAAGTCAACATCTTGTTTCTAATCTTATACGCACTGCGAACACAAGTGGGCACCACGAAGAATTGCTAACCAGCACATCATGAATTAAAGGACGCACTCTTGTTTTCGTCGGGGATTCCTGCATGGAATTGCTGCAGCGTTCCCAGACGTGCTCCATATGCCCGGGCCTCGCTGCCGGGGATGAAATTTTGTTGATATACGGATATAACCCTAGTAAGTTTCTCATGAATAGCGGGACTAAAATGGTAAGTCGATTCCTACTAGTATTAGTGATGTCACTTCTACTTGTTCCATTTGGGTTTTTTCATCGTGGATAGTGTGCGTTTTTGAGAGAGGTCTTCCTTCATCAAGCATTTGCCTTTAATCTCTATCAATTGCATAGTAACTCTTGAGGTAACGTTTGATCGATCTGGACAACCTTAACTCATCTGTTCTCTGGGTTTCGCTTTGCCAGTCACAAGACTACGTATTATGTTATGCGTCTAACTCATCTGTAGTCAGTTTCTCATACAAGACATTATTTCTGGCTGAAAAGGCCGTGAGAGAGGCGCCGAGGAGTGAGGAACGACTCCTTGGGGCGAGTAGTTCAATTGATAGTGAATTTTGCGCGTCGTGTTCCTTTTTCATTCTGAAACTTTGCATATGTATTTAATGTTTGTTTGAGAGCAAGCGGACCCGGAACTTGTCTGACTTCTGGTTCCATCACTCCCAACGACTCCACGATGGCTGACGATACTGGATTCGACGTGGACGACATGCTGGAGAATGCACTCGAGTCGAAGTCGACTGAGGTAAACGAAAAACCTGGACTTTTTTTGTTTCGTTCTGAGCTGTTCAGTTGTTTAAATAATCTGAGCAGAATAAACTAGTATTTTCTTTCGGGCGGACATGAGGTCGTTAATAATAAGATTTGTTCAACAATGGCTGAAGTTATGGCGCATTCGCCTTCTTCCGAGCTTGGAAAGGTCAAGTTGGCTTGACCCTCAATCTGCCCAATCAAACATTTTCGTAACTTTAGCAAAAAGAAGAGCCCTTTTATGTCGGTCTTATTCTTTTATAAGACTTATTAGCTATGACTGGTCTGGAAAAGGACATTAACTTGCTGAACAATCCAGGGATATGTTAACACAATGATGCTGAGTTAGCTCCCGTAAAGGGCAATAACGCGTTCGATCCCCACCGCAGACACCTGTCGTTCGAAGTTTTTCAAATATCTCAGCGTTATTGCGATTGAGTCCGAGATTAACTGGAAGTCGATCCTGGAAATTGGTACAAGTCCGTCAGGAAATCGGTGGGTCGTTGAGTGTCGGGAAAGTTTGCGGAGATTTAGAATGGTCCAATATTTTGTCATACCCGACATAATGTTAGATGCGTTGTCATCCGTACCTCTTTTCGATGATCACCGTTATATCTAGTTCATTGCCATGTACTGTTGAGCGTTACTGTGTTTTCTTCGAAGTAGATTTTCTTTATCTCAGAGTTGTCTATGCTTTTGTCAACTATGGTGGACCCTAGTCTACCAGCAATTGAGAAGTTCTATTCTTTTTTTCGAGTGAAATATAGTTGTTATTTGCAACGAAACTTAGCGTTCTTCAACCAAATTGGTATCTCATTCAAAGGGAGTGAGGCTGTAAGACTGTAGGTCTTCAGTGGTGGTTCAGATAGATTATATGTGTGGTGCTTCATACTGCGTTGTTAATTGACTGAGAAAATTAGTGTTGTTTTGTTTCCAGATCGTCAATGATTCAAAAGAAGCGATTACTGATAAGGAAAATGGTTCTTCAAAGAAGAAGAAGGAGAAGAACCGAAGCAGAAGTCGCTCACGGTGAGGTTGAATGCAGACCTCATTTTTCCTTTAGTGGAACTCTACTTGCCATTTTCTCTAAGTTGCAAGTGCTTGATATCGTCCCACGCAATTTTTTGAATCTTGTAGTGCTGTTTAGTTTTGAAAAAAAAGATGACATGTGAAGGTACCAGGCTGCGCTGCGCCTTAATAGAGTTTGGTCGAGTTTATTTGAAAGCGAAAGAGTGATAAATTACTAGAAGTTAGTATTTTTATGCTCTATAAATATGCTCTTGCTAACTCGAAAAGGTTAGTATGCAGCCATACCAGGTATTAGTCATAGTAGAGTAATATAGTATTCGCGCGTTAGGTGTTCATTTTTTGAACATTAGTATGTTACCCTTACGCAAAGTGCCTGGCACGTAAAGCTTTTGAATTCTCAGTGTTTTGTTTGCTGATCTGTAGACGGCAGCAGCTTGCCATGGGTTGATGATGGTGTGAATTGATGATCGTTTACTAAGTCTTGCTCGTCGTTGTAGACGATATTGCGATTGAGACGCGTTTGGATTTGTGCTCGGCCTACGCACGTTAACGAAAGTCGATCCCTCACACATTCTCCAACGGAAAAGGTATGCGTCGTGACCATGCAATGCGGCTATCAGAAGCGAGCCGACCGTCCGCAGCCCAATTCACCGCAGTTCATCAGTTGTTCGCAATTTCACATCCTTAACTCATCTATGCTTTTATTCCTTACAATAGGAATGATAGAATGAGGTTTTGAACTTCTAATTTACCACTGCTGCTTGAATGCACTATTAGTTTAATTTCGAGTGGTATATTTGTGTCTGTGCCAATTTAATATAGGCTTCACTTGTTTACGTGACTGGCGCGACTTGTCCTTACTAGCTCCACATATATAGAAGTTCTTTTTTGCTTCAAAACCAAGTCCTCATTTCTCGGGGGAGAATACAGATGAAATCGTTCTATCAAGAGTATAATTGCTAGGGTTAGAAATTTTGTGCTATAAATTGCTGAGTTAGTTTATTATGATTATTTGCGTTTGTATTTCCTAGTTCAGAAAAGTGAACAACTGATGAACTTCTATAAACAGTATTGATGCTTTGAACGTGAACGGTCGGTTCGAGCCATTGTTGCAGGCTCTTGGCGCGAAGAACATGCAGTCAAGGAATATCCCCGAGGAGCAAGGATATTTATGGACATTTCTGATTCTGCAGATTCCTCATTCGGAAGGATGTGCTTATTCCTTTTCCAGCACCGTAGTCATCACATTATAGGTCGCGCAGCCGTGATCGTAAGAAGCGTAAAAGAAGTTCTAGTCGTGATAGGAAACGCAGTTCGAGCCGTGATCGACGCCGTCGTCGTAGTCGTTCGAAGTCACGCGATCGTAAGCGTAGCCGTAGTCGAGATCGTCGAAGAAGCAGGTCACGCGATAGGAGACGATCGAGGTATTTTCGTATACCTTGCTGCTCTTGCACCTAACTGTACAGTTTAATAACTTCCATCTATTGTTTTACTCATCATGTAAGCAGGTCTCGTTCGCGTGAGCGTCGTCGATCGTCCAGGGATCGCCGCCGAGACCGTCGTTCACGATCTCGTCCGCGTGTTATAGATCATCGAGATCGCCGATCTCCTATTAGAAGATCTCCACCACCAAGAAGTAAGTTTCAGTCGTCGTTATGAGGGACCATAGAAACTTGTGAAATTGGTTGAACATCTAAATATAATCGCAGGCCGTCTACCTGGGCCAGAACGTCGCGATGTTATGCCGTTCACGGCTCGTTCATCACCTCCACGTGGAGCGAAATTGGATATGAGTGCAGAGGAAAGAGATCAGAGAACATTATTCATATTGCAGGTTAGTTTTGATTATATGTCATTTTAACAGTCTATTATGTCTACAACAGATTATGTTCCGAAACCAGAACACGAAAGTCTTCAAGGAAGCTCAAAAAACTCGAAATTGATGCTGAATGGTCGAGTCAGTGCACTCTTTTACTATACAAATCTCTACATTTTTGAAAGCAGTATTAAGTTAAATATTGTGTTGCTTAGAAAACTTTATCTTATTAATCTCGAGGATACTACTTTTGATTCTATATTCACATGAATGTAGAAACCAAATGCCGTATATTTTTGTCACATTTTATTGGACAATTTTACGTTTTCGCTGCGAAGTCGGTTTTTCGATAACTGAGAATAATTTATCTATCACCAAACTATTTCATGAGTTTGGAGGTCTATTGATTTATAACAGAGACTGTAGACTTTAGCCTATAGTACTAATTGCGTGTATGGTTTTTCTTCCATTGTTCTTTGCAGTTTAAATATGTTTAAAATTACCACTTTCGAATAATCAAAACCGTAATTTAAAGTTCGAAGATTTCCAACGCAATTGTCTGGGTTACACCATCATGTTCGTTCTGGGTTTAGCTCTGTCTTTTCAGTGTTGTTTTTGTGTTCGAAATACGAGATAGATATCGAAATAGGTAAAAAACTGGAGGAAGTGTGGACTCAGCGAAATCATAGTTTCCTCCTGGTAGAATAAGATAACTTGTGTTTAGTAGACAAAGATTAGCGTAGATTCTAAAGGTTTGCACTCTAGTTTCTTATTCTTTATTGTAATAATAGATAGCAAATAATAAAGTTCACTAAAACCAAAGATATGGTGATTTAAAGTGGGAAACGGCAATTGTTTTCACATCGTTTGAGCTTTACAGAAGGTACGTCGTCGTGAATATAATAGTAGACATGTTAGACTGCCAGGATTACTTTAGTGGGCACACACTGTACTAAATCCCAGGATCAAATTTTTCTTATGATTTGCACAGTTTAGTGTTCGCGATGAAATAGCGACTGTTTGGGTTTTAGCTACTTTTAACCTTTTATTTTAAGCTGTAAATTGTGTCTTAACACATACCGTTTAGCCATGCATTGAGTGTAATGCACTTGATGCGGAAGTAGTGTTCTCCTTTATTTTTAGACCATTGCATCTCAGTTCGTGTTCAACTTTAGTGGTTGGAAGAGAAACCATTGGAATCTACAGATCGTGCGTACGGGATACAATTACTCTTGTCCTATTAAGATGAAATTTTGATTTTCTGAAGCCTCGAAACGTTTATTTTTCAAGTCTCATTGCGTCAAGGATGGTCTTCCGAACACGAAGGTGGTGAACAATGGGGATTTCGTCTAACATGATACGGTGGTGTTGGTAGTGTGTAGTCTATGTTTGCAGTTTGCTGCAGTTATGTGAAAGTTTTTGAAAACCTAAGGTTTATTACTATTCACAATATTGACTTTTTATTTACTATCTTTTACAAGTTTTTACGACAAGGTATTATTTGTGAAGCAACCACAGTGTTGCTGAGATATTTGCGAAGCTCTGGACCGCTGGTGTCTGCGGTGGGAAACGAACGCGCTGTTAACCTTTCCGGGAGCTAACGCTTTTTTCCTCACCGCAGACACGTTCAGTCCAGAGTTTTGCAAATATCTCACCATCATCATGGTTGTTTTATTATTATTTTTTACTCTTAAAGTTGACTGTAAGACGGCTGAAGTCGAGGTGTAAAAAACTGATAGTTTGTGCCATAATAGTTTACTCCGTTTTCATATTATTCTCATAAACGTTGAGCTTAAGATATTGCGATAGTTTCTAGGTGGCCCATATACTGTAGGTACTGTTTGGACATCGCAGATTACGGTATTTGGTTATGCGTAATTCATGAAATGTCTTCTTATTCCTAATTCGCATAACTCTGATCCCCTTCAGATTGCTCGACAGACACGACCACGGGATTTGGAAGAGTTCTTCAGTGCTGTTGGCAGTGTACGAGATGTGCGAATAATTACGGATTCGCGTACAGGACGATCTAAAGGAATTGCATACGTAGAATTCTGGGAAGAAGAAAGCGTTCCATTAGGACTAGCCCTTAGCGGGCAGAAGCTGCTTGGTTGCTCTAACTGTTATAGATTGTTTCCAAATTACCAAGATGAATTCATCAATTAGAAGTCGAAGGTGAGTATTTATCATTCTTCAGGAGCTCCCTTAGTAATTCAGCGTACGTGCGCTGAACGTAATCGGGCAGCCAATGCTACGATTGGAACTACTCTCGGATTTGGACCGGCTCCTTCGAAGGTAATTTACCTTTACAGCTATTAAATGCCCATATTTTTTGGAGAATGTTTTACTAAGCTTCTGGCCTCTTATAGATTTCGTAGTTTAAAATGTTGATAACAGATGGTTAGGAACTCTTTTGCAGGGACCATGCAAATTGCATGTATCTCATTTGCATCCCAACATCACGGAAAGCATGTTAGATGGCATATTTGATGCATTTGGACGTGTGGAAAAGATAGAGGTTGTGAAAGATCCAGCTGGTAATAGCTTAGGATATGCCTTTGTGACGGTAAGCTGGACTATTAGTTGTATTAACTGGTATTCATTTCACCTTCCCATATGACGTCGGAAATACCAGTGTTCTTTTTCAGTTCAAATTGACAGAGGATGGTACAAAAGCAATGGAACAGTTGAATGGTTTCGAGATTGCTGGGAAACCTATTAAAGTGTCAGTGATCGATGAGGTGTGTTTCGTAATTCGCTGAGTTAGTTTTTTAGATGGTTTTTTCTCATTCTATCGATCTGTGCCGTTTTATATAAATTCCTATTTTCTTTAAAACTACACTCTACCTTGCTTTTTCCAATAGGACGAAGAGTCAATACGGCAACGAAGTTTAGACGACGTAGCCGACGAGAAACAAGGCCTTGCCCTAGGACAGGGTGGGCGCATTCAGCTCATGGCGAAACTCGCCCAAGGTTTGTCTTTATTTATGATCATTCGAGTGCACTGAAAGATTGTAAAATAATGGAAGCGAGATGTGAATAGTCAAATACATTTCGTAAGAGTGCGATGCTGATTTTTTTAGGTACTGGAATTGAATTGCCACAGGCTGCTCAACAAGCTCTTCAACAACAAGCTGCAGATCCTACTATTCCAGCAATAGCAACGCAATGTTTTATGTTATCAAATATGTTTGATCCGAAAACTGAAACTCGTCCTATGTGGGCGGCTGAAGTACGCGATGTAGGTCTAACATTACAAGTCTCTTACTAAGAGTCTATATTCTGAGGAACTCCATGAAGGGTTTGAATATTTGTTAACCCATTCCAGGATGTCATTGAAGAATGTTATAAGAATGGTGGCGCGCTTCACGTATACGTAGATACGGCTAGTCCACAAGGCAATGTGTATGTGAAGTGTCCGTCAATTGCGAACGCTCATAAAAGTGTTTCCGCTCTTCATGGACGTTGGTTCAGCGGAAAGGTCGGTTCAATTTGTTTAGTCGCAGACACCATTCATCAAATTTGACTACGTCAACATGTTCTAGAAGGGTGAATAATAAGAAAACCGACAGCGATATGCTGCGCTTTTCGTAATTGTTCAAGTGGTATGGTTGTTCAAGAGATCGTCAGTTTCCAGAGCTATGTTCAGTTCCAAATGCTTAAAAGGCCTTAAGAGTTTCTTTGCCTCTTTTATAAAGCTTTTGGCAAATTCTTGCTAATATTATCAAAATACCCGAGTCCTATATGAATTTTCCAAAATTTTTAGAGAACGGACTGTAGCAGCGTGGATTTAAGATGCTAGTAAGGCATATTTTATACAAAATAGCACTTCTCATTTAAAATTTTAGCGGTAAATGCTTTTGTTCTATTTGAATGTATAGAGTGAGATTCGTTTTGCAGGTAATTACTGCCAATTATGTACCCGTGTCTTCATATCACGAACTATTCCCGGATGCTGTAGTGGCACGAAATATCCTTGTACCGAAACCGCAGGACCAGGCAATGCTGCCTGCACAAGTTAACACTGTAAGTTTCGATCTTCGTAGAAATATGTTCATTATGGAAAACAGCTTTTTTCCTTAGGCACCGGTTACGAATTTCGCTGTGCTCCCTCCTCCAACAGTGTCTGGATACAGTGGCCCTGCTCCACAAGCAGGATTTTATTGACTGTATTGTTATATTTATTGTCGACTTTCCCATTGTTTTCGAGGAAGTTTTTCTTGTTTATACTATAAGTTATGACGTGATGAAATTGGTTCTACTTCGTCTTGATTTTGTTTTTCTTGAAGCAGTTTGATTATCTTCAACAGAAGAATAGTTAGTTACCTTGAAAATTCCCGCCCATTAATTGTTTATTTTTGTGTTCCATGTCATTATTGGTCTCTTCTGCTAATAAAGTCTGCAGTTTGAGTGCTTCCAAACGTTTGTAAAGCGTGATTGAGGTAAAAAGGAAGCTAAGGGAAAGTACGGGGAAACATGTATTTTATTCAGATTCTCCATCAACATAATGCAGCATCTGCAGTTTGCATTTTTTGGTGGTGAAACAGGTCGTGGAAGATTTGAGCCAATCAGAAGTCATCGGTTCCCTACTATCATTCTGTTGGAGGAACGAAGAGGTTCGCAGCGATATCACATTTACTGCTTGCCACATTTTATGAGATTCTGCCTTTAACTGAATGTAAACACTTTATTGGGGTGTCCCATGTTTCGATCATAGGCGCACTATGCCAAATATGTTATAAATAGTGAAAAGTTGTGGTCAAGTTTGTTAACGACAGAAAGAAAGAAGACAGAAGTTGGTAGAGTCGGAAAGCGGAAGGGAACCACTTAAATGCTGAGCTAGGAAGGTAAAGGATATGAGGAGAAGGAAGAATAGTGCTTTTTTGATGGAAGCTAGAGGAGAAAAGCGAAAGACCAAATTATCAAGGAGCATCTGTATCTGAGAAGAAAGCATATGGGGAATTTGTTATCTTTAAAACTATTCTAACGATCTGGAGTACTAGAAATATGAAGTCATCCGCCAATGATGCCCTGCCTATCACTTGACAACATGTGGTCTGCGCGAACGTATCCAGTAGAAGTACAAATTTTACTAAGCTGTTTAACTCAAGCTGTTTCTAGGACATTTATTCGTCGATCATCATCGTGGTTGGGAGGTGCCATGAATATTGAGCTGCGACGTAGAGCGGCGGGTTTCATTCCCTCTGTGGGTCTCCCAAGCTGAGAAGTAGTGCGCATTTCCATTAGGAAGCCCACCTAAGAGTAAATCAATACCAGGATTCACCATCGTCCTGGTATCAAACTAGTCGAATGGTGGCAAATCTCACCTAAAAAAAATAAAGGCGGCAACTGCCTATGGTGGTGACGACCTGCGGCAGACTTTGGATAGGCTGACCTAGGGACTCTAGAGTACCACAATGACTAAACCCAGCTTTGAAAAAATGGGAATTTTCTGGAGCTCGCACAACCAGTGAGGACAGGCCATCCAAGTATCCAAGTAGGTATTCATTGATGGAAGTGGAAGAACGGAGTGCGAAAATTTTTTGCACGCCGACATTTATATAACCTCGGTATAAGCAATGAATATTTATTTCACTAATAATCTACCAATCAACAACCGCCTCGTATGGAAAGACACTGCTCGTTGAGGCTACTCCATCCAAACGGTGCTTCCTCCTCTGGATTCAAGTCGATCGACCACAAGCCTCCAGTGGCCAGCTGTGAAGCGTCGGTTCCGATCCGTCCAGCTCCGAATAAGATGAAGACGTCGAAATGCAAGGCATAAAATTTCACACCAACCTCCTGTTAGTTTGACAATGCAAAGAGCATATATTGAATGAGGAAATGTTTTAATTAGTTTCAATGATGCTGAGATATTGTACCTTTTATTTTCTGCCTACTACAATTTTCACGGCAGGGTACTAAGCGAAATGCAACCACAACGTTGCTGACATAATTGCAAAACTCTGGACCGTAGGTGTCTATGGTGGGGAACGAACGCGCTATTGTCCTTTTGTCCTTTCCGGTAGGCATTGTAGTAGGCAGAAAATAAAAGGCAAAACATTGTGATTTCAACTACATTCTCAGCTTAACTGGGTTCAATCCCGATGTAGGCTTACCAGATCAATAAAGGCGAAACGAAGGACTCGCGTGGTGTGGTGGTGAGCGCGTTACTGCCCGGAAAGGACAATAGCGCGTTCGTTCCCCACCGCAGACACCTGCAGTCCGGAGTTTTGCAAATATCTCAGCATCACTAAAGTTATATTTCACAATATACCCTGCCATTAAAAAGGGGCCCCGGGTCTTCGTCACCACAGACACTCACCAGCCTTGTGGATCAGAGGAAGATTTTCCACCATGCGACTTTGATACCAGGACAGTGTTGGATCCTGTTATTGGTTTACTTTTAGGTGGCCTTCCTGATGGAAAGGCCGGACTCTTTCTCAGTTTGGGAGACCTTTCCAGAGGATGAATCCCCCGCTGTACGTCGTAGTCCGACACACAGGGACACCTCCCAGCCACGATGAGGCGCTAACACCGTTGGTAGGACCAGAATGTTAAGTTCATTTAAAATTTGAGCTTTGAAGAAGCTAAATTTTTATCGTGGCGAACGGAAACTTGTAATTTGTTGGCGAAGTTCTCTACATTCTTACAGTTTTTATTTCAATTAATAAAGTGCACTATTGTGTTCCTGGATGTTGGGGTGCGATGTACAGCGGTGGGAGTCATCTCCCTGGCAGGGTCTCCCAAGCTGAGAAGGAGTCCGGCGTTTCCATCAAGAAGTTTAGCTAAGACTAAACCAATCCCAGGATCCACCATTGCCCTGATATCTAACTCGCATGGTAGCAAATCTCCCTCCGACCCACAAGGGTCGCGACTGATTGTGGTGGTGAGGATCTAGTGCAGACTTTGGCCAAGCTAACCTCGGGATTCCAGAGAACCACAACGGCTTAACCAGCAAATCTCCGAAAAATGGAGATTATGCTGGGGCGCACACAACCAGTGGAGAACGGGCCGTTCAAGGATCAAGTATCAAGTAAAGCCCACTATTAGCTGAGATATGCTTATTAGATATCATTGCTTTCGAACACGTATAAATTAGAAGAAAAGATAGATCAATATGTTAAAATGGTAGCTGCAACAATGAAATAGCGAAATTTTTGCAATTCTAGTTATAAAATCAGGGTCGTTACTCCACTATTGTTGAGAAAATTTCCAGAAAACTCGAGTATCTCTTCTTTGTGAGTGTTGTCTTTCTACGTTGTCTCCGTCGGTTTTTTTTAATCTTAACTGTATCGACTTTCTAGCTTATAATGAATATCATTGATTAATTCTGCTTGTTAAAATCTAATATTACTGCATTGAGCCATGTCAACAGAAGACGATTTCGGGTTCAACCTCGAGAGGTTGCCATAGGTACGGAATTGCTGGAAGCGATCCCTCTATATCTGGAGAGGGGTTGGTGGCCAGTGACGAGGTTCATATGTTTTCTTAAATAAAGGGCGGCATCTTTCTACCGATAGCTGGTACGCAAGTCATCTCTTGGCTGAGGGTTCACCGCGTTTTTTGGAATGGTTTATTTCGCAGAGGTACTTTACTGGTGAGGAGAGCGATCGTTAGAGAGCCTGCTACCCTTCAGGAAAGAACAGGGAAGTCTTTGCTGTACTTGAACGTTGAAGTTTGACATTTAGGGGACATTTTTTCTGTCATATAATGATAGACTGTTGAGGAGGTTTCTTCAGAGTGGCCTGGTGTAAAGAGAGGGCGCGTCCATCAGTGGTGTTTCAACAAAGTCTGCCTTTATAAATAGCAATAAATCTACAACCATAAATCAACCATAAATCGGAAGATTGATAGCGCAGGGGTAGTGGTGCCGTTTCATGGCCATGATCCTGGTTCGAGCTTGCCTGGGGCCCACTTTTCCCCTCATCTCTTAAAGTTCGGGAAATTGGTAGCAGATGATGCTGCTGAGATATCTGCAAAACTGCGTACCGCAAGTGACTACGGTTAGGATCGAACACGCTACTGCCTTTTCCGGAGGCTAAGGCGTTCACCACCACACCATGTAGGTCCTTCATTGAACCTACCTCTCAACTAGCTTTTCTATCTACCAATAACATCAGTAGTTACCTCTCAACGGGATTGATCTGGGGAGCACAGAACAGCGTTGAACCCAATTACGCTGAGGCTGTAGTTTTCTGTAATTCAGTGCCGATTTGTACTTCACAGACCAATCCCGTTAACGGGTGATTGCTGACGGCACTGGTAGATAGAAAAACTAGCTGAGAAACGAGCGAAACGTAGGACCTGCATGGTGTGGTGGCGAACGCATTACTCCCGGAAAGGACAATAGTGTTTGTTCTCCACCGCATGCACATGCTGTCCGGAGTTTTGCAAATATCTCAGTAGTTAAGAGTCTTTGTAGGCAAGTTGCAGTACTTGCTTACGAATTTTTTAAAAAAATATCCTGCTTGCGCAGTGACCAGGTTTCTGACGCACACGTTAAAGCACAAGGGACCGTGGAATCGAAGAAAAGGTGGCTGGAGAATTGGATGTACTTTGTTCTCCTTACTACATCCTCGATGCTCTTAAAAGCTTCCCAAATTGCTCGCTTCCTCCTGCCCAACTCTGGAGCTGGGCCGTTCATGATGTCTATTTTTCAATCCAAAGAGACCTAGCTGGTCTACTCGAAGTTAATTGTTTTGTTGGACCTGAATGGAGCATAAAAAAGCAATCCGTTCCTCATGGACATCGTTTCTATGAGATGGAGATTTTGTGAGAGTTGAAGTCCAATCTTTCCACCACCTTTATCAAAGCATTAGTTCCGCTTGACTAATGTTTAGTGCTACGAGAACGATGTCATCAGCAAAGCGAAGATAGTGCAATTGCCGACCATCGATTTCAACTCCCACGTTCTTCCATTCTAATATGCACATGGTTTTGTTGACGGTGGCATCAAATACTTTCGGCGCGATGCTATCGCTTTGTTAATCACTCTTTTACGTCAATCATGCCGTTATAGAACGGTGATGTTTTTGTTCCGAAATTTTTATATGCCTCAAGAGCAGTCTTTGTCTGTTGAGTAGCCAGACTCGGTGGGACGATGTATCCATCCTCCTTTAATTTGTATGAGGGAATGGAGACTTGGCTGTTGAGTAGATTCGAGTAGTAATTGTGAATGATTTTCTCCACTGGCTTTCTGAAGGCTGTAACTCTCTCGTCTGAACGACGAAGGCCAGTCATCTTGGTCATATAATTGACGAATTTTCGGTGGACTTTGCAAATCCCTTTCCCATTTTCTACTTTGGCGATGACTGCTGCCCTTTTGTCTTTAAGATCTTCCTCTATCGCCTACCCCATTGCTTTGCAAGTTCGAACGTGAGTGAGTTGGCAGTGGCCTGTAGCCCGTACGGTTGCCTTATCAGCTGGAGTGTTTCTGTAGACATTTATCTTTCGGTGACATTAAAATTCTCACCTTTCACAGCGCTAACGTGATGGTGTGCAATAAGACGATCATATTGCTCTTCGGGTTGACACTAGCGGCATCTCTGTAAACGCCGACTAATGAACTGAATAAATTTCAGTTTACAGTGGTTTTCAGATCTCGTTTTTTGAATTTAGCGGCTATCCGTTGTTTCTGCGAGAAATTGAATCCTGCACGAAGAGGCGATGGTTTGATCTCGTGTAGAATTTTGGGACAACAGCGACATCGTTAAGAAAAATCTTCAGTTTACTATGATATGGTCTATTTCGTTGTGCTACCGTCCATTAAGGGCGTATGTGGCACGGTAGTTGGAGGCGTGCTCTAATGGACATGGGATCGATCTCCGCCTCCAAAGATCACCAAGCCTTCCATCTCTACGGGGTCGGCAAATTGGTGCCAAACTTGTCTGAGAGGATAGCAGCACTGGGTCGGTACATTGTTAAGCCACCGCGAGTCATTGGAAAGGTCAGATATGCATTCAATCACCTCCAACAATGATTAATGAAGTCGAATGCATGGCGCATCCCTCAGGAATTAATCAACGCCACAAGGTTTTTTAGCTTTTTACTGTCCATCAGGAGACTCTCATATCCAGCGTTAAAAACGGTGCTTTTCTTTGGTCGTCGTGATAAGCCTAGACAGCCCTCGTCCTGCTTGTTCCATTTTAATCCGTAGATATAAATGTGATGTTCTTCAGACGTTTCGGTTGGCTGAATCTTAGCATTAATAACCCTCGAAAAAAAACACTGATAACCTCGAAGAATGTATTGTCTTCACTGTAGAGGCCCTCCAAGTCCATATGGAACGCGTGGAATTCCTTTTCGTAATAGCTTGATGTCGGTTCGTAAACGCCTAAGATTGTCAAAACGGGTACTGATCCACATCTCTTAAATCGTAAGCGTCCAATTCGACTTGCTAATTGCTCGAATGAATCAATGTTCATGGCCAAACTTATCTTGGCGAAAACGCCGACGCTGCCCACTTTTCTGTTGTTGGATGCTCCCAGGAACAGTTGTTTCCCTGTGTCATAAGTAGCATTCCTGCCCACGGTTTACAGCCTCATCGTAGCTGGGAGGTGATTCCTGGATGTTGGACTGCGATGTACAGCGGGGGATTCATCTCCTCGCCAGGGTCTCCCAAGCTGGGAAGGGGTACAGCGTTTCTACCAGGAAGCAAAGCGAAGAGTAAACCAACACCAGGATCCACCACCGTCTTGGTATCAAGGTCACATTATTGGCAAATTTCCCTCTGATCTATAAGGGTGGCGACTACCCGTGGTGGCGACGACCTGGACCAGGCTGATCTCAGGACGCCAAGGAAACATAACAGCGAAACCAGCAAAACTCCGAAAAATGAAGATTATGCCGGGGCCCTCATAACCAGTGAGTTCGGGTCGTCCAAGTATCCAAAATGCTTCAAGAGTTTATCGCAATGATATTTTTGGGTTCCCGTGCGATAGTGCCTTTTACTTCAAAACCTCAGTTATGTCTCTTAACTTAAATTGTTAAATTTACCGAGTAGACGTTATTTTATGTTGATGCGAAATGGTCTACCCGTTTCAAAAATGTATTCATCGTCGGGTGCTTTACAAGAGATCAGATAAATTGTACCTAAACTCGTGCAATAGCCATCGTTACCGATTGGGTATATTCTGCAATTTTATGCTGTGCAGGGACGGCGACGTAGGCGCGTACGAACTGAGTGACGTCTTAGAAGTGCTCTATTCTATGCCAATCAATTTTACCTAATTTTATAGAGCGGCCCTTGTAAGCACCATTTTATAGTCGCACTTATTTCGTTTGAAATGAAGTACAAGACAAAAGCGGCTTTATTTTTTTATTTTATTTTCTAGAATGATAACGGTTTTTTATTTTGCAAAATTCATTAATAATTAAAACGAAACGAAACAAATTTAATTATTTTATTTTAACTCGTATGAAATGCTGAGATATTTGCAAAACTCCGGACCACAGGTGTATGCAGTGGAGAACGAACACGCGCTGTTGTCCTTACCGGGGAGCAGCGCACTTCAGGAGCATCCGGTGACCCGGATGGTGTAGTGGTGAAGTGCGCTGCTCCCTGGTAAGGGCAACAGCGCGTGTTCATTCTCCACTGCATACACCTGTGGTCCGGAGTTTTGCAAATATCTCAGCATTTCATACGAGTTATATTTCGCAACATAACCTGCCATTAAGAAGAAAAAAGGCAGTAAATAAAAGAGTTAAGATTGTGATTATTTTATTTTATTTTATACTACTCGCCTTCACCTCTACTGTGCGGATCCCAGCACTTCTCTCATTCGATTCGTTTCCTCCAACACATTATCCATTAAGGTCTTCCAACTTCTACGTGCTACTTCGGCTGCTGGCTGCTCGAGTCGAATCTCCCTGGAGTCCTGGGATAAGTGGACTAGAGAGTTCCCAAAGATTGCAACGGGTGCTTTCTTCCCGGACAAGTCCGTGACTAATTTCCCGAACCTGGAGGGGATCGAGCTAGCACCCTGCTCGTGTTGACCGGCTTCACTGCCACTGTACTATTCGCTGCCAACGGAAACTTATTATCGTTGAAGTTATCGTTCGGGGGACTGGCTTTCCGTCTACATGTATCTCAAGGAGCTACATTTTCGTTGCCATAGAAAATGGCTGTTTGCCGCGCCATTTTCCAGAATTTCTCCTTCTGCTCTCTTCCTATGCACACGCAAGTGGCTGTTGGAAATATGTTTCTAACAACACCCTTTTTGTGTATGAGTGGTGAGGGGAGAGGTACTGAACCGAGATGTTTTTACTAGTTTGCTTTCGGGACCATTTAGTAATGCAGCCATTTTCGCAAAGGTTAATTTGGACGCTTACAAATGAATGCAAATTTTCTTTCGCTTTCTCTCAGGAAAACGTAATGTGCTCTGTCTGTTCATTCCATAACTCAAAACATTTCCTTCTGCGTGGAGAAAACGACAATGGAGTCACCTATATATCTACAGCAGAGAAATCGCAGGAGACAGTGTTGTCCCATTGCCATGCCTCTCATTTGCGCGTAATATTTTCAGGATAATCTGAAGGTTAAGCTGTATAGGCACTTTTTTTAGATAGACATAAGGTGCCGAATCGAGGAGCCATGCATGTTTATTGTTCTTCCGTGTTGCATAACTAATTCACGAATGGCTTACATAGTGGAGTCATTTGACATGATGATATATAGGGCGGTAACGTTGACGATCTCCATCACATAAGCGCTGTTAGGATGCACATAACCTAGACGATTCAGGAACATAAGTGTATTCGTGAGATTGGCTAGGTTATATTTCGGCAAGTGGATGATATCTTCATAAACAACGTTATTCTCTCCATCGACCCGGCTAAGCAGAGGGTTGGTCCAGCCTCAATTTGAAGGGTCGGTGGACGCAAAATCATCAGTGGATACCAACTATGTGCAGGTATACAGTTACACTGCAGAAAGTTAGTGCTCGTCATTTTTAGACGTTGAGTGAGTGATTGAAAAGCATATTCTAAGTATTTGGATGTAAATGTAAAGAGGTTAGAGGTAATTTCGAAAAATTTGGACCTTTCCTATCTATTTTCTGCACGACTTGGCACCTCAATCCTTAAAGCACTGTTCTTGTTTATGAGCTATATTGTTGGTACTTTACTGTTCTCAGCAAAGCTAACAAACTGACAAGTTTACCCAATTCCACAAAGAATCTCATGCCGTTGCGCTGGTCCAGTAGGTCAAAAGAATTCAACCATAACGATAGCCATTAAACTAAGCTTAGACTTTTAAAATATGGTGGAAATGATAGCTAAGGGTTGAAGTTTTCTTTCATCTCTTGCTCTCAATCGAGAACCGACAGCGAAGGAGCGAATATTGTTGTGAGACAGCTACTAAATAAATCGACAAGCTTTTATTCGAAGCATATCAAGAAAGAGACGAGATGCTGGATTGCAGTTCCATTTAGTAGCGCTTTGGTGCACAGCACACACATTGAAGTTTCTTGTTCTTGTCTTCCTAAAATGAGAAATCATCAAGTTTACTGCATTAAAATTTTAGTATTTGTAGGTATTATCAATAATAAAGACAATCAATGGTGAATAATTGGTTTCACTTGATGGCTTCGTGAGCACTGTTTCTTGCTTACCGGGCAAATAATCCGTATCACAAAAATTTGCCTCAGCCTTGCTTATTATCCCACAACACCTAGTGACCACTTTTTAAATGACAGATTTTTTTATAGGACCTGTCTTTCATGCCTACTGTGCGGATTCCAGCACTTTTCGTACTCGATTCGTTTCCTCGTATCGATCCTTCACGAAGCTCTTCCATATTTTTGCTTGTGGCTTCGGCTGCTGTTTGAGGATTTCCTTTTCATCATGATTATTGTTAAAGGTTGGTCGAGTCGATTCTCGAGTCGATTAAAGTCGATTCTCCCTGGAGTCTTGAGATAGCCTGACTAGAGCGTTCCCATTTGGAATGCAGAGAGTGAATTTTTCCCAGACAAATACGGGACCGTTTTTCCGATCCGAAGGGATTAAAGGTTTGGCGACCCCGAAACAGAACCGAACCAGCACAATTTCTGTGATGATCGGCATCACTACCACTATGCTATCCACTCCCAATGATATATTTGTCCTTCTAATAGTTAAAATAACATTGTACCCATGTATTTATATTGTTTAGCTGAGAACATCGCGAAACCCACCTCTGGATCGTCACCGTGGTAGAAGTCCAAATCGGGATCGAACACGAACAGCGCACCAACTATTTCATTCTAAAGCGAACGATTTCGTCCTATGGAAATTACATTCGTTTCGTCCAAACAATGGTTCACCGGGTAAACGTTTCCATTTGTTCGGCTGGCGACTCTGCAACACGTATTGCAAGATTCCCACGAGAAGATCGCCGTGAAGCGACATGACTGCCGTTCATATCTACGATGTCGGCGACCATGGTGGCGGCGCTCGTAATCTGAATCAGATTAGAATTGGATGAAGATCTTGCTTCGGTGAAAGATTCAGTTTCGAGTGCTCTGTCGGATCTTCCACACTCTATATAGAAATGAAATACGATTTGAAGAGGATTATTCGCTAAGAAAGAATGGAAATGTAAATCATATAGTTTGAAAAGGCAGATGTTTGCCGCCTGTTTCGTTACACTTAAGGCTTCATAAGCGAAGAAGTAAGCAGACATTACCTCTTTCGTACCTCTTAGCTCCGACGAGAGGAAACGAAGCATGAACCGAGCAGTAAGCAACTGGAAAAGTGAGTTCTACATTTGGAGAAATTCACAAATGCATCATTAAAACGAATAAAAGACTCACCGTCATAGTTGGGGCGCCCATACTGGGGTCCGCCGTAGTGCGGTGGATAGTATTGCGGTTGATATGGTGGCTGGTTATAGGGTGGTTTATAATAGCTTAAAATTTTATGGGTGCATCAGATAAATTAGATTTCGAACTAAACAGGTTGATTATACTGTCATTCACACCAGCCTATTGGTAGTGTTGAAATAGCTCGCCTAATGGATTTTTACGTTGCAGTCTTACCCATAGCTTGGATCCGGTTGCGGTGATGGATAATATCCAGCCGCTACACTGTCTTTAACTTCCTGAAATTAGTTAATAGAGAGGGGTCAATAAAAGTAGGCTTAACTAGGAAAGGGTTAGAGTTGATAGACCATTACAAAATCCTTTCTTAGCCTTTTTATAGAAACTCCTGTGAGTATAATACTTCGTTTGAAAAGGTAGGAAAAGGCTCGATACCATACATTTTCTGCAGATGCACTGAAACCGACGAGAAGTGCAAGATAGAGAAGGAGCTGCATTTCTGCTGCTGCTGCTACTGCTCTGTTTCTCACACCAACTGGTTTTTATACCGTAAAACAAACCCTGCGCCGCGATTACGGTAGTGGGAGGAAAAGTGATAATGCATAATGTTGTCAGTAGAATGTTGAAACGCTTTCGTTGTTCATATATAAAAGAAATAAAATAACTGGATCGTATATTAGTTGCTCGTCTCTTCTGTGGGTAAATGACCAATATAACAGTGTTGCACGAAGGAGTGTAACTTGTCATGTTTATGTGGTATCGGACAAAATGTCTGTTATCTTCACAATACGATAAGGATTTTAAGTGTCAAAAATAACTAATTTTTAGTCCTTCGTGCTCCACGAGAAATTTTGGAAGTTGTTTTGCTGGGGTTTTTTCTTTGGGTGTCGTTAAGCAAACATTCATCTTCACGAGCATGGCACTACTACGATTCCGCTCCTAGCGAACCAAGCCTCTCATACATGCAGGGTCGGTAAATTGGTACCGGAGTTGTCTGGAAAAAAATTACTCACTGCAATCTAACTGGGAACGCTCCAGTCCAGCTATCTTAGGACTCCATGGAGTGCTCGACCAGCATTCTACGACATTGAAGATGAAATGAAAATTTTCAAGCAGCAACCGAAGCCACACGTAAAAACTTGGTAGACCTTCGTAGATGGGTGCGAGGAAACGAATTCATCAGTACTGGTCCAGAAAAAGAGGATTGAGTGGCTCATCCATAGTAATTTTGACACTAGTTCTCGAATTTTGCCCGTTTGTTAATTTAGATTGACTTTCGGTGAATCCGGTGGCTACGAGAAATGAGAAAAAAATGGACTTCTAGACTCCGAAGAAAGCGATACTAATGCGGAAACGTCAGCTTTACGTCAAAGGCACAGAATGCATAGAGTTGAACTGCTTTTAAAGGCCGAAAAAAAAACGCGAAAAAATATGCTTTGCCAGGATAAACAATAAAGTAACATCTCGTATATGTTCAACAAGGATTTTGAGAATTATATTCGGCACTGATTTTAATGAGTAGAATTGACTTATGGGAAAGTTTACTACAGTGTTGACTTTTAAACGATGTACTTCAGCTTAGCACAACGAATGAACGCACCAAGAAGTTCACGCATGTCACTAGTAAGAAGTCATTGTTCCGTTCCCACTCAAGATGTAAACGAACCTCTTCGCCAAATTTTTGCACGAAGCCGGTGCCTTGGTGCCAAACTTGTCTGGGAGAATAAAAGTGCTGATTTGACGCATGGCCTGAATCTCCACCGAATGTAATTGTGCAGGATGAATATAAATTTAGTTATCTCTAGAGTGTTTAATGATGCCAATTGTATGAGCCACCGCTGGTTAATCCAAAACGAACACCTTTTCTTCAATTTTATCTACAATGAATACACCGCAGCAGTTTTTCACCAGTGTGTCGTTGAAAGACCTCTTGTGTAGGCTGAGAATGTCTTAGCATTCTATGCGCTTTGTGACTTTGTTCGAAGCCGATTCCCCGTCATGTGTTGCGTTCTAACCTTATCGCCGAGATTCCAAACATTTCTGTTCAATGTTGCTCTGTCATACACTTTGTGAAAGTCGCATAGAATAACATTCTTCATACAGTATCTATGATATCTGATCGGTTACAGTATTTTGTTGAGGCATTTAGCCATCAGTCATAGGCATGGGATGTAGAGATGCAAATAGCTGGCAATCAGCAAAGAACAAAAGAACGGAAAAATATGCAGCACATTGGTGAACATAACATTTTCCTAGATCTCTATTGAAAAAGAAAGTTCATGACTTTCCTTCCTTTAAGGTTTCCATGCATAATGGGTTAGAAAACTACTTATTTGTCGGTGACCGCTATCAATTTTCCTAAGCGTTGCCGGCTTCTTGTTCAGGATCAGCTGGGTTCCATATGGTTAGCATAAACAGCGGCAATCTTATTTTGCAAATTAATCAGTGCCTTAAATGGAATTCTCAGCCTATAAGTCGCATGTGTGGATTGTACTTTGTTTGCCTATCGGATCAGAAACTTGCAATCAAGTAATTGCTAAGCATGTAGAAAACTGTTCGAGATCACCTGCAACAAATGACCCTTACTTTTGACTCGACAAACTCCTTTCAAGTGTAAAAGTCTACACTGCTAATTCCTGCTAGTCACAAGTGGTTTCCTTCCTCTGAAAGTAATAAAAAGAAATTGCCTCACAACGAAGGTAAGGCTTTCTTGGTGGCTCTCTAAACAATGAATAATTAAAGCTCACGACGGGGCGAACGGAGACTTTGATGATGTTTGGTGTTGTCACTTAGTCATTATATCGGGGTTAAAGCTGAACTACACGTAAAACTGTTGTATTCACTCTTACTGAACAAAAACAAATACGAAGCTATGAAAGAAAGTTTACTGACCTACCGCGATATCATTCAAAACGAGTACTCCACAAGAGTTTACGTTCGAGTGGAAATTGCCTTATTCATAGCCTGAAAGATTCCATATTAACCTACGGAGCTCTTTTCTGCAACCAACAACAAGAATTCCTATGTGACATTCCTGTCATATTACAAAACCCTCTAATAATTGTAGTTCACTTCATTGTTGGAGCGAAGCTGCGTAGATTAGACGTAGACTTCACTGCATGCCTTTGGAAAGGATCGCTTCAGGCTGAACGGAGTTTAAGGATAGTCTTTCTCGCTGCAAGACATAACCCTATTCCAATGAAAATAGTAAGAAGAATAACAAAACGTAGTTTTCGGCTCAATTAACTTTTACTACGTTCCCAGTTCTTTTCTTAGTTGTTCATTTCTGATGTGGATTGTTCTCATCGCATAACTTTATCTTAAACATTAAATTATCACGAGATAAAGGGTTAGTGCAAAACTTGGCCTTGGGTGAACCCCTACCACGCTATCAACACTTGAGTGATTTATCACTTGAACTTCGGATACTTAGGATTTCTTAGAGGCAAACTGACTAGAATGGCTTTTGCACGTTTGAAGGAAATGTTCTAAAGGTGCTGGTCAGAACGCGTACACTCTGACCAATAGAGTGGATGGACCAAAACATCGCAGTCACTCGTAGAAGTGTTCCCCGACTCTTCACAAATACAAACACTCTAGCATAGTCGTGATAAAACATATTCCTCTTCTTATCCACTAATTCTGACCTTTTCTTGACTCAGTGATCGTTATAGCATGTTTGGCTACGAAAAGTGCTTGTCTGCTTTAAGAATTCTGTATTCCGTGGGCAGTTTTTTATATGCAACCTCATTTCAAACCTACTATAGGTACAACAGACTTCCGTTAGCTGTAGCTGTAAACGAGCTTCACTACTTTGCTTGCGGAATTCTTTACAGCGATTCGCGATAAAGGATAGAAGTAGAAAACATTCGGGTTGAGTCGTGACCTTGAGGAATACGCCGTGCAACTGACATCATTTGTAGCATTGTAAAGGTGATTGGAAGCTCATTTATCCTACAAAAAAACTTGTTGTGTCTACCAATGTATAATGTCAGCGTTCTTTTTTATTGCACCAGAAAAAGCTGGCAGTAATTTGCAAGATCTAAGGTGGTACTTTAAGGAGGGTAAGGAGGTAGGTTTTGCTTCCTCTAGATCATGTATTGAAACGATGACTGTGCGTTTAGTAGAGGCACCTCTAACCATATCCCTGATCGCATTCATCCAATTTTTTGCTTAAAAAAGAAATAGCCACTGAATACTCGGGCTGCCAGTTTTTTCTTAGATAACTCATGCATCAGCAGCATATCGGCCTTATTGACCGAAGCAAACTTTGGTAATCTCCACGAGATGACTGGTCAATATCAAGTGTAATTGCAACTCGCGATTTGTGTTAGAATGTAGAACAGATCGTTCTCCATCATTAATGTTAGCACTCCATCTTTGAAAAATACTTAATCATCGGCAGACACATGGAGCGGCCAGCTAAATCCTCTGTGCAAGCATGACATATCTTCATGGATTGTGATGCGCTGTTAATTGCTTTTGTAGTGTGTGTTCCACAAAGACTTACGCTTCGACGGATCTCGTCTTTTTCGAAACCTGAGAATAGTCGCTGTAAATGGTATGCGTCCTACTCATTTAGTTATTGTTACAACATTAACAAAAGCCTAGTATCTAGATTTCATGAGAGAAAGAGTTTTCCGCCGTTTTTTGTATTGCCAAATTTCTTGGTCAGCCAGATCACCCGTAGAGGATCTGCCTTGGAAAAAGGACGTCTGAGTTTCGGGACGTAAAACTTCTTAAACAGGCATATTAAATGATCTTATCGGAGTCCGAAACAGTAGGTTTTTCAAGGATAAATTTCATTTCTCTAGGCGATGTTTCTCGAACGAAAGCTTGCCAATGTGTCGGCGGCATGTAGACGACGGCTCACTATCGACGACGGCGATCGCGATCCGAACGGCGTCCCTCCATGGCTCCTCGTGCTATTTCGACGTGCCTCTACCAGAAGCTCGTCAACACTCACTGCTACACAGGATCCCAATGACTATAAAAATGCTCGACATCGTCTGCAAACCACTTAGGCCACAGGATGCAAGGCTTCATTCTAACCACACTATGGCTCGCCGCCACTCTCACCAATGAGGTAAGCCATTTTACCTTTTCAACGTCAGTGTCGGCCATGCATTCGCATTCAATCGGTTTACGACACTTTTCTGGGACATCTTGAGCAGCTCAGTTTCGAAATACCACTGCTGTTCTACGTATAAAACATTTCCCACATGTCGTGCACTTCCTCCATTCATTTCGTTCCCCTGTAGTCGTCTTAAAATGAGGTGCGGGTTCAACCACAGCCTGAGGATTGGTCGTCCTGTCTCTACCAACACCATGAATCCTGGTTGAGCGCAATTTTTCTCAACAACCCTAAATAGACGTGCAGTGGTGTTCCCAAGTCTTCATTGCAAACAATTGCCTGCGTTGTTTATCGGAAAGAAGTTTTCTTGTTGCGGCTCGCTTTCTTCCATGCTAACAGCGATTCCTACGATGGCAGTTAATCGAGTGGTTTGTCTATCGACTACTCGAGAGCGATGCAAGAGGCCTATTGTAGAAGAAACACCGATGATATTTTTTGGAAGGTCCTATGTTTTAGAAAAAAACTCATTCATACGACATTTTGAAACTCTGTGATTATCTATTCTAGAGGTAGTCGAGCGACCTTTCTTTACTGCGGGTCACCTTTTTTTCGAAGTGGTTTGAGCATAAACATTTTAGGTGAGCCCAACACAAGAATCCTATGGAATGCCATCCATTTACGGAAATATGTACAATCATCCTCCCAGTTACAGTTACAACCGAGGGTATGGTAGGCCACCACCGTATGGATCGCACAGTGGTTACCATTACTTTCGACCACCTCCACCACCACTGGTCGACCGTAAGCCATTGCTCATTACAACATGTTTGAGTGACTTTCAAGCTGGAATAATAACTAAACTGGATGACGATATTTCCTGACGAAATTTCAATTTGCAGGACGAATATTTGTAGATTGGCTTGAGTAAAAACTTCGCTTTAAAATGACCTCGACTTTTGCCATAGGTGACGTTTGCGACTTGGATGCGTCTGTGCTGCTTGTCGTGAGCTCACGACGCCATCGCTATCACGACGGAAAGCATCTCAACCGTGCACATCGAGTCAGGTACCTACTTCCGACGCTTTTGGCTGTATTGACCATTCAGTACTCTTTTGTACCCTCAACATTCATCTGACTAGGATCAGTCTCAGAGTGTGAAAGTCTGGCTTGTTCCAGTCTATTCAAGAAACACAGTTTAGGTGCTCGGTGATTGCAAGTTACGATGAGGAGTCCTGCAATGTTTGTTGCCAACATGCCGCTCGACGTGACAAGAGCCTAATGAACGTAATGATTTTTGGAAAATATTCATCAGTTACAAAGCACGTCTTGTCCTTTCGCTGATAAACCATTGCCCTGTTTCTTCCCTAGTGAAACCGTTCCTTCTAGTCGCTGTTTACCTTGATTCCATTCCGATCACGTCTAGGGTACTGACATTAAATGAGTTGTCATGCAGACCATTTAATTTCGTACTCTGGACGTTATCCGAATATGTCTTTCGCTTTGCGGTTTCTTGCAGCATTCTTTATATGAAATCCAGAAAAGCTCGCAGTAAGCAATGAGTGATTACAGTATTTCGTCAGAATATGCGGTATATAGTCACGAAAAGTTGCCAGTGATTTTCTCTGCCTAATATTAATAGAGGGGGCATATGTGGCGCAGTGGTCGGAGGTGCCCTGCAACACACACGTGGAATCGATCCACACGCCCATGGCCCACCAAGCCTTCAGTCTCTCCAGGGTTGGGAAATTGGTACCAGACTTGTCTGGAGGATAACAGCAGTGGCTCATCGGCAGGCCATCGCAAGTCATTGTAAAGGCCAGGCATGCATTCAATCACCGCCAAACGACGCTTAGTGAAGTCGGATGCATGGTTCATCCCTCAGGGGTTGATCAACGCCGAAAGCTTTATCCTTTATCCTTTTAATATTAATAGAACAGTGTACTACGTTCTTCTGAGTTTAGTTCTTGCCTGCAACTTCTCATTTCATTTCCTTTGTTGCGGCTCCACGCACGGAAAGAAAGTGGGGAATTTTAATCTTCCAGTGATGAATGGGCTTGAAAAAGAAATCCTTATGTACGACTCGTGTTTAATATTCAGAACCAATTCGTGGGATTCCTCGCCGTCACGAAAGACTTCGAACATTGGAAAGATGATGAACATCACGACGATCGAGATGAGGACCGGCCTGAAGACATTCCCGAAGAACAATCCGAAGACCATGATGAGGACGACCAGTCAGATGAAAATGACGATGTGAGAGTTTGCAATTATAGGAAGATATTGTTCAGTGGAAACAGAACGGAAAATTTCATTTCTTGGAGCACTGCATTGCCGCTTCTCATACAACTGTCTTACTTCTTCTCATTTTCTGTGTTAGGAGGTCCCTCTTTGTGTGAATTTGCGTCATTAGCTACTCAGGTGATGTTGCGAGCAATGCAATGTAATCTCTATTGATCCTGCACTTTTCACGTCCTTGAATAGGGGGAAATACCTACCCTTTTCAGATGCGACGTAAACGCAGTAGCGACTACGAAGACAGCAAAATCGACACAGTTAAGCTACCAGAGGTAGCCTTTTGATTATTTTGGAGCTCTTCCGATTTTTCTGAATATTCTTTTAAAAAAGAATACTGAAAAGGTAGAAGTCTCACGCATATGCTATGCAACTTATGAAGAGCGATCTAGCGCTTGAAATGGAGATTATCTAGATTTCAGTGATGTTTTAGGTGTCTTCAGTGATTATATAGTAGAGTTTGTAAGAATTTTTCTTTTCCTAAGCTACATTTTTTTCTTGGAAGCATTTCTTTTCAGAAGGACTTCATGCCTTCACCTTACTACAGGAACGTGAAGTGCGTCTGCTGTGCTCCAAAGCGGCCGTACCCTCCGCAACCCATTTACCCAGCTCATCCAGTTTACCCACCTTATTCCTCTGGCTCTCAGCAACCGTCAAACTACCCATCACCTCCATCCCCTCCATCTCCTCCATACCCTCCGACACCTTCACCACCTTCACCACCCGTATATCCCTCAGACTCTCAGCAGCCACAAGGCTCGCCGAGCTCTCCAGGAATAGTCCCTCAGGATAAACCATATTAAGTGTTAAGACTTATGTGTGGCCATAATGTGATGCTGATTAATTCATTCACATAAAGTGTTTGAGCGAATAAAATTTGACAGGATTTTCATACTAAAGACGATCTTCATGTTGAAAACATCTTGTAAAGGGTGAAATGCTTAGGAAAGAAAAGTCAACAAGAAAAAAGAATGAACGAAAAAAAGCGAAATGAGGAAAAGAAAGGAGATATTCGAACTATTTTCCTCTATGTTGTCCCCAAAATTTCAAGGAAAACTATGGGGTTCGGTGTTTACATTCGTTTTTTCAAATATGAAGCTGACAAACGGATATTTCCCTCTCATTGACAAATTGCCCTCATAAACCACGGCGACAATAATATCATATTTTTTGGTACCTAGGTTGTCCTTCGACAGTGCGGAGGCGTTGTCGATTCGAGCTAAGAGTAATACAACTTGCTTAAAATGGTAGACTCATGTTCACAATCTCCATAATATCATAACTGTAATGTGGGCTAGATTTTGAGTTCCTAAATTACACCTTAAAATGACTCTTCAAGTTTCTGCTGAGCTAGCTGAGAGATGGGAGGAACGAAGGACCCGCATGTTGTGGTGGTGAGCGCGTTAGCCTCCGGAAAGCATGATAACGTGTTCGATCGCCACCGCAAACACTTGCGGTCCGGAGTTTTGCAAATATCTCAGCATCATTATAATTGTACTTTGAAGTTCGTCTTTTTTCTCTGTACATATTCCATATCAGCTGAAAAAAGTCGGAATAATAGCATTATCCTAGCTTGAAGGGATAATGTTCAGCAATTAGGCTGTCATAAAAATCAAATAGTTTAACGGTAAAACTTTTGCCACTGCCTAAGTTACTTGAAATCCAAGAAATTTCAGTATAGTCGTCCATCATTCGGAGTCATTTGATCTGTCAACAGAACTATAATAGTCCCAACATCGAATAGACATTCTTCGTCACTGTGAACACGGTAGAATATAAAAAAATCATCGGAAACACAAAGGGAATACGATCAAACAAGTAGGTGAATCGACAGACATAAACTTCGCAATCTCGAAACTATTCGGAGACGGTTTTTTTTTCTAGAATTTTTGAAACTTCTCATATCAAGATGTGAACTAAATTATCACCGAAATTCCTCGAGAGCAAAAGTTAATCAACATCGCCGACGAATATTATATTCACTGAGCTACTCTTGAATCCATGTGGTCTGAGACGCCCTGCAAAACACGTGGAATAAATCTCCGCGTCTATAGCCCAGCAAGTCTACCATCTCTCCGGGGTCGGCAAATTGGTGTCAGACTTGTCTGGGAGGATAGCAGCACTGACTCGATGAATCGATATGCCACCGCGAGTCATTGTAAAAGCCAGATGTGCATTCAATCACCTCCAATGATACTCAATGGAGTCGAATGCACGGCGCATCCCTCAGAAACTGGTCAAAGCCGAGAGCTTTCTTATCCTTTTATGTGTTCCCTATTTTATTTTTCTATTGCATCTTACACACTATTCTCGCACAATATAGTACCAAATCATTCCACTTACACCTACCGTGCATTCCACCGTAAGTCCACCTCGATTTCAAAACATCGTCGCACTCTTTCGTCGCTCAGATTAGAACCCTCTGCCCAGATCACATGAATGGGAACGGCTCTGGGTGGCATTCATGTACTCTCTGTTTGTTCATCATTGCACTTTGTAAGCACTTCACGATCGTCATTGGCATATAAATAGTTTCGAAAGTTCAATAAGATCTGCGCATTTGCAAGTGTATGTATGTTTTCCTTTCTTAACCATAGGACTACATCGATCCATTTTAGAATGTCTCTTTATTTCGAACAGAATATGTGCAGCTATAAAATGTTACGGAAGATGGACCGGTTCAGAGGATTCGATAAGAGTGGTGGAAATATCACCGGACACCCTAAGAGGCCGGCTATTTCGTAACCGCCATTGTGGAAGGCCTCTCACACGCAAAATGTAAGCTGGTTCCCATCTACATTGTCTTAGTGTATACTTACTATTTGTTCTATTATTTTCGTTCATGTTGTCAAATATTTGAATCTATAGTTTTTCGATCTATGTTCCCAGTAACTCATTTTGTCGTGCAGTCGTTTAAGAATTGTTTTTCCAACAATAACTGACATGGATCAACACAGCACTTCTTGTTCCCTCAATCGCTTATCTTTATAGCCCTTTCAAAAAGAGGAAAGTTTACTGCTAGGGAGACAAAGTAAGAAATCACTCCCACTTTTATAGGTGTGACTTGCCTTTAGCTCACATTATACCTCCTTTGGGGCTGGATAAGGAGTCAAACTTAAAAGAAAACCCACGTTGTATTGTCTAGAAACGTTAGAGTCGCAATGATACATTCTCTATGTTTTGCTTTTCTAGAGCGATGGTACACACCATATGTATTCACGCTGCCCTTCACTGGTCTACCGATCTATCGCGATGGATAAATTGTCGACAAGTGGACCAATAAATATTAATAATTGCAATCTTAACCCTTTTTTTATTTACTGCCTTTTTCTTCTTAATGGCAGGGTATGTTGCGAAATATAACTGATAGTTGATATGGAATATGTGCAGAGAAAAAAGACAAACTTCAAGGTACAATTATAATAATGCTGAGATATTTGCAAAACTCCAGACCGCAGGTGTATGCAGTGGGGAACGAACACGCGCTGTTGTCCTTACCGGGGAGCAGCGCACCTCATCACTACACCATCCGGATCCTTCGTCTTGCCTGTCTCTCAGCTAGTTCTATCGATCAATCCCGTTGACGGGTGATTGCTGATAGCAAAAAGATCGATAGAACTAGCTGAGAGACAGACAAGACGAAGGACCCGGATGGTGTGGTGGTGAAGTGCGCTGCTCCCCGGTAAGGACACCAGCGCGTGTTCGTTCCCCACTGCATACACCTGCGGTCCGGAGTTTTGCAAAGACCTCAGCATTTCATACGATTAATAACTGCATTATTCTGCATGCTATTGGTGATTGGACTCACCTATGGCGGCTGCATCTCAACCTCCGTAGCAGGATCGTTTCGTCTATATTCAAATTCTTGGCCACACAGACAATACTTCTGATAATGTTTCTCTTCTGGTTGCTATTTAACGTACTCAACTGGTGTAGCGGACTATTCATCCACGAAGGAACCAAAAACGATGGCGAAATCAACAAAGCCGGACCGGAGTGTCGACAAATCGACCAATAAACATTATCTAGTAGAAAATAATGTTTTCCATTGCACCTTTATTCCTTGTGTTCTGAATGTACCGAGTGCTCTACTTTCATTTCCTATCCTAACCATCGGAAACGCCAGTAAATACGACAACTATAACCATTAGAGACACCACCGGGCATAATACCAGGCACTACGCATTGCTTAGGGGCGAGACCTTGCGACCCATGGCGTTACCCCGTGACCCTTAGCACGGCCATTTGCCTTCTGACGACACGTGGACATCGCCGTCGTTCTTCTTCATCACGCTTTCTCCAGCTTAATCTCCTTCTTTCGTAACTGATTCCATTTGATTAGGTCGGTCTATTGTTAAATAGAGACTCATACTCTTGCTTCACAAATCTCGGCTTGCTGTAACCGTGCACCTCTTGGCGAAGTATCACGTCATCAACGTGTACCTATCTCTCATAGTACTGAAACATGAATTACATAGTATTACATCTTCTTGAACCATGTTAAACCTTAATAACGCCGCTGAAAGCCATAATGTTTGCTCATCATCCAATTGGTTTGACTGTAATCTATTTTACAACTCGCATCTAACGTTTGTACATCCATCATTACTCGTGCTTAGCCACGGCAACTCTTGGAACAACTACAACTTACGTATTAGCCCCTTATTCTCATACTGTTAAATTGAACAATTGTATTCATTCATAAGTTTGCCAATGCACATCCTTGCAACGTCAGCTATATTACATTACTCTCTCTTAAGCTTTATAAGGGTTTAATCCTAAGCGCTCACTTCAGCACCATATAATCTTCACACATATTTGGTTTCTCTTGTACCATGTTGATTGTCTCGTTTAACTATTTTATATCAACTACAGTGTATCACTATCGTGTATTTGTATTTCCGTACATAATCGTTAGTGTATTCTATCTACTCAGATTACTTCGTACTGAACCAACTCACTTGCAATTTATTGTACATACATTTCTAGTCTGCGCTATCGCGTATATACCATGTATATAAGCGGTTCAATTACCCAAGTTTGAGGTGTTTAGCGCTGTGACCGCTAATCATCAAAAGCCCAGCGTGGCACAGGCAGAGCCGAGCATCTAATCCGGCCGAATCCTCCTAACTACTTGGTATTCATATATCAGCGAGCCGTCGCAACATAAATTATTCCCAAGATTCACTAGAAAGATTTCAACATTTCTATCCAGAAGCACAGCTATGCATTACCCACTTCCAGTAACCACTGCCATTCAGGGCGTGCATAGTCACTAGCTGGTACGTGTTGGCAATCTGTGAAAGGCCTAGGTGGGCTTTTGAGATTCCTGGAATAAGAGGCTTTGCCTAACTAACAGTTTGTTGGTGAAGTGAAAATTGTGCTGGAAGCCATAAGACTTATCGAAGTTTTAAACGCAGGTCACCCAGATTTCAATTGTGCACTTAAGGAATGCATGTAGAGCATATATGCAGCATGTTATTTACTTCACCTCAAGAAGGTGACTAGAATAATGTGTAGTTCGAGTGATCTCGGTGGAATCTGCACCGCGTCTACACCGTAAAAGTCAACGAAGCTACTGGTCAATACACACTCAATACACACTGTACCCACCGCATCGCTCTAGAACATAGGTATTTCTCCTCAAACAGTAAAAGTAAATTTCCTCGCTTTCATAAACCTGAAAAAGCTCGTATTTACTTTTAAGTCTTAAAGTCGTAAACTTTTAAGTTCAGGACAGGAAAACAGTAAGTGCTATTGAATTTCGATCCATTCTAGGCTGTATTATTGTGACCGTCAATAC